AGAACAAACTCAACACTGATAGAACCAACAAAACATCTGCTAGAACCAACTCAACATCTGCTAGACTAAACACAACATCTATCAGAACCAACTCATCTGCTAGAATCAACAAAACATTTTCTCAACCCCTCACAACATCTGCTTAAACAAACCTTTGTGAGACCCAACTTAACATTTGGAGGAACCAATGCAACATCTGCTAAAACTAATGCAAGGTCTGCTAGAACCTAAGACATGTCTGCCAGAACAAAGTCAATGTCTGCTAGAACTAACTTAACATCTGTGTGAACCAACTCAACATCAGCTTGAAGCAACATGTCTGCTAAAACCAAGGAAACATTTCCTAGAACCCTCACAATATCTGGTAGAACCAACTCAACATCTTTTAGAACTAATGTTAAAACCGTCAGAATCTCTGAAACATTTGTTAGAGTCCACTCAACCTGTAGAACTTCCACTACATCAGTCAGCACAGAAACAGCACCACAGACTGGGAGCAGAACCCTGTGCAGAACCTCAGGGTCCTAATCCAGTTCTGATAGAGTGTTCTCACCCAGAGAGACTCCATCGGGAAACTCGTCCTTCAGGCCAAAGATCTCGCCAAAGGCCTGCAGGAACTCCAGAACCATCAGTGCTTCACCAAAGAGCTCGGCTGGGAGACGAGTCCTCACTGGAACCGGACTGGGCAGATCCTGGTGGAACCAACACACACAAACACTCGTCCATCAGAGATCATTCAATTCAATATAACCTTTATTCACACACAGAGACAGAAACAGAGACTGTGGTGCGTTCACTGACCTTCAAGTCTTCACACTCCATGTCTTCTCTGGGTTTGTTCCACAGTTTCAGTCGCTCAGCGTATTTCTTCTTCTCCTCCTTCAGCTTTTCTCGCTCCTGAAAATTACGACAAACGTATCATTATTAAATATTATTATTATTATTATTATTGTTGTTGTTGTTGGAGCTGAAATTATGATTTTGGTATCAACTTATTTAGATGAGTTATGCATAAATATTAAGAAATATATGGAGTATAAACAGTATTAGAGTTGTGTCAGTCAGTAATTCTAAATGTCTAGAGAAAGAATTCAGTGAGTTATGTTTGACAAGAATGAAGCAAATGCATCGTTTTAAAGTTGCCTTTTTTTATTCATTAATATTAATATAACGGTGATAAAACCTCACCCTGTCCTTCTCCAGCTTCCTGCGCTCCTTCTCCTCCCTCCTCTTCTGTTTCTCCTCCTCAAATCTCCTCCTCTGCTCCTCTTTCAGCTTCTCTTTGTCCTCCCTCTCCCTCCTCTTGGCCTCCTGCGCCTCCTCCTTCTCCTTCTTCAGCCGAGCTTTGTCCCGAGCTGCGGCTGCCATGTCCTCCCTCTGCTGCAGCAGCTTCAGCTTCTCCTCCGCCGCTTTCAGCAGCGACGAGTTCGCCTAAAAAACCCACATCACACACACACTTAGTATACTTATAATACTCACTCTACTTATACTACTTGAACTCCTTATTCTACATTTATATTACTAATCAATATTAACTACAAACACTTATATATCTATCTCCTCCGCACACAGCCATCAGACTCACCTGTCCAGGTGAGCCCCGGCCTCCACCTTTAGAGGGGGGGCTGAAGGGGAACAGGGGGGGCTCATCAGGGAAGAACTGAGAGAAGGTTTGTTCCGACAGCCGGTACTTCTTCTCTGTGGAGGGCTGACACACAGGAAGTAATCATTAGCACACAGGAAGTCTTTGTCAACACATTACAGTTTCATCAGTCTAATAATTTTACTCAGACTGAGATTTAATGTTTCACAATGAGTAAAACAGAAACCACAGATTATTTTTTACGACCTCTGGTGAGGCACAGGACAGACTAAAACAACATACATCTTCATCTTCCTCTGACATCATTATCCTATAGTGTTTAGCATTTCCTGTATCACCTCTTGGAGATTAAAATAGGAGCAGGTTCCTGTTTGACTGTCAAGTGCACAAGAAGTCCCGTTACAAGCTGGAATTAACTGTCACTATAGAGACAGAAGGTTGGTCTGGGTTAGCACTGCCGGAATATCAGCTGTTCATACTATGGACTGACACATCACAGTGTAAACCTCGCTCAGTATGTGTTACATGATGTGTGATGCTGTTCTCACCTTTACTGTGACGGTCCCAAAGCGAAGTTCACAGTGTTGTTTAAACAGCAGCTTCAGTTTCTCTCTGGACACACTCGTCTTCCTGCGACTGGACAGACACAACATGAGCATTAAACATCAGCAGAGACAGTTTCCTCATAGGCATTTCACATGAAACACTTAATGTTCACATAAAACTTTGCATGTTTAAATTAAACTGCACACATTCGAAATAAACTCTACATGTTCACATGAAACACAGAACATGCTGATGATGTGTTTAAGGTTGTTTTCTTTCTGGAAACTTCGGGATCACACTAAGTCTTAGATGAAATTATTCCTGACTCGCTTTTTCTGTTTGAACAAACTAAATATTCAAATTGTAATGACCTGGTGGTCCAGCAGAGGGCGCTCTTAACAGTCACTATCAGCTTCACCTATTGATCGATCAGTAAACTAAGCTTATAAATTGAAATAACTTCTTTTTGTCTCTTTAATTGTTTTATTATTGATGGCTGGCCACCCCTACTCTGCGTGTCTGTCAGACAGGTAACACAGAGACAGACAGTATGGATGATGTCATAGTGTCTCACCTGATCTGATTGGCTTTCACAATGAAGGGCTCATTGTGTTCTTTCTTCATCAGCCTCACTGTGTATTTGAACACAGACGGACTCAGAGCCTTTGTCTTCTTCCTGTGGACACACAAACAAACAAACACACACACACACACACACACACACACACACACACACACACACACACACACAAAAGGAGTCCTACACGGAGGTATTTCACAACATCGTCAGACTCACGATGGAAAGTTTTTAACAAAGGATCAAAGTCTATGCAGCGGAATCAGAGATATCGTCTGTTTTCGTTCCACTCATTCATCTCCCTTGTCAAAGCCTGCTGCCTACATTACCCACAGTGCACCTCTCCCTCTGACAGCTGTGGTGTGTTATCCAGACCTACAGAGGTCTCACTTTTGTCTTCACACCTTCAGATTTTATTTATTTTCTAATTTGTAGTCTTAAATCATCATGGAGTTAAGTGACATCACTTGAGGACATATATCGTCTTCACACAGTTCCTTTGAGACTTAAGCCTGATTTATGGTCCTGCGGCGTACCTACGACGTACCTACGTCGTACCTACGTCGTTGCCGTGACGCCGTCGTGAACCCTTCGAACTTCTCCGTCACTCCATTTCGTCGCGGTGCAATTCACCACCAGAGCGGTCGGAGGCTGTGTTCCTTTCCTGAATGGTTATTGTCGTCTCTAGTTGATTCTTTGTTTAGCTTCCGGCTTTTCCGGTCACAGAGAAATGAGCGCGGAGCATGGACAGACGGCTCCTTCCATATCCGTATTGAACGTTGAGCATAAATGGGCCTTAATACTGTAACATCTACATCGCAACAGAAGATGTTTAAAGATGGCGGGGATGGCGCAATCTGGAAATACGGAACCGGAAATGCGTTGCTACCAAGCAAACCAATCACAACCCCCTCAGTCTGCGCTGGGTCTGCCTCGCCTCGACGTGTAGTTACATTTTTGGGGAGGTGCACGTCAGGCTACGCCGGGGGCGAGCCTTCTGCGTAGCCATGTACACTACAATGTAGCGACGTCGTTGATTTAATGCAGGACCATAAATCAGGCAACTGCAACAATTCATTTTTAACAGACAGAAAAATAATCTACTACTATTTCTTTTGATAATAATAACAATAGATCTGACACACCCTTCCTTTGCATACAATGACCTCTGACCATAAGACCCAGATGACCTTTGACCTACTGACCCATTGACTTGTGCAGTGGGACTCTGGAAGGGTTTGCTGTCGTCGTCGCTGTCGCTGATCACGATGGTGTCACCGTCAGCTGGTTTGGCGTGGCCGTTGGCAGTTGGCGTTCCGTTGGCGCTGGAGTGAGGAGAGTGAACCTGCAGGATCTCACACGTGTGTCTAGCACGCACACACACACACACACACACACACACACACACACACACACACACAGACAGAGAGAGAGAGAGGGAGGGGATGACATCACCTCACTTGTACTCAGGTGCTCTCCTGACAGAACTGAGGGTTGTTTCCATAGATTTTAATAATACCAAGACACCGGATGGCAAAATGGCTGCTGTTCATTCCAATGGAGTTGCTCACCTGGCATGTTCACCAAAAAAGTTTTCTAGCTTCCTGGTTTTACTTCTGCGGTATGTGGCCAACTGAATATGTGCAGTAATGTTTCTCCTGCTGGCCCCGCCCATGAGTTCCCACCCAGCTCACAGACTTTATCTAAATCACTTTTCTTGGCTTAAGGAAGGTTTTACAGATATAAAACCTGCATAGATCAAACATTCACAATAGAAAGAGTCATAAGTGACCTTGTTTGTAGTTCAAGGTGTCCTGTCAGCAGTTTTACAGACGTCTCTTTCACAATAGTGGTCTATGGGGAAACTGCTTTTTAGGCTGCAGGGGATTTTTTCGTTGCAATACCACCAGTGGCTGCGAGTGGAGGATTATTAATGTGCACCTCCTCCTGTACTGCCTTAATATGCACATTCAGCACATCCAATGCATCAAAACATTGTTTTCTAGTTGGAGCCACGCCTCGTTTTCAAACTGTATGGTTTGACTAGAATGAACAATGACAGCAATATAGTCCACGATGAGCAGCGCTAAAATCAACCTGCGTAGTTGTCCCTCCATTGTGACATTAGAAAGTGTCACATTTATCTTGCAAGTGTACTCTTCTTCAACGTTTGCTTTACTTCCTGGATTTTTCCCACATG